CCTTAAAAAACTCCAGCCAATTGGAGCGCATTATGACTGAAACCATGCACAGATCTCAATTAAACACCATTATGATGACTGTATAACTCGATTGAATTTTTCAAAATTCCATCAGTAGAACGTTCATAAAATGACGCCATTGTACTCTCTTGATACATGGAAAAAATGACCTTTTAAAATTTTTTAAATTTTTTAGACGGAACCCTTACAAAACTCCAGCCAAGTGGAGCACAATATGACTGAAACCATGCACAGATCTCAATTAAACACCATTATGATGACTGTATAACTCGATTGAATTTCTCAAAATTCCATCAGTAGAACGTTCATAAAATGACGCCATTGTACTCTCTTGATACATGGAAAAAATGACCTTTTAAAATTTTTTAAATTTTTTAGACGGAACCCTTACAAAACTCCAGCCAAGTGGAGCACAATATGACTGAAACCATGCACAGATCTCAATTAAACACCATTATGATGACTGTTTAGCTCGATTGAATTTCTCGGAATCCGTTAGTAGAACGTTAATAAAATGACGACATTCTGGTCTCTTAAAAATGATCTTTTATATTGGAAGTTGCTTTTGATCATTTCAAAATCAAAGACGGCAAATTTTGTGTGTATAAAAAATTCGTGCAAAAATTATCGGATGCATGTTGACCTTTTTATCTTTGATACATATTTTAAATGATTATATGTAAATTATTTAAAAGAGTAAGTTCTTTGCCTTCTATACATAAAGGTCCAACTTTGCTCCATGTTCAGCTAATTATCATGCAAATGCTGCTGTATAACTAACGAGTCTGCATTACAGTGAGTCGGATTTAGCAGTTGTCATTGCACGTTGTAGCGAAGAACTTCTGAGCTCAATTTATCATAACCTGACTTCGATCAACTATGTCAACTCTGCCATGATTTTTGTTTTGCTGATACTGGCTCGCTGTAGCTAATGGTTTAGCAGGTTAGTATTCACTTCATATTCCTTAACATGTACGCTGTTTTTTGTCGGTTCGTGGAGAGCCATTCTGCTTCTTTGTATACCGGCATGTTAAATTAGCACTGTGCAAAGGTACACGATATTGATCATGATGTCCATAGTCATAACTTTATAAACACAAGCCATCAAAGAAAAGCTTGGCTATCGTCTTGAATTAGTTGCTTGGTTTTTGAAATCATATGCCTTCTTTCCTGGACTTCTAACATATTTCTTTTTCAATTTTAGACTGCCCTGCTGACTATAAAGACATGGGAGGATGTACTTATTGGGAAGAAGCGGGGCTTTGCAGTATTTACCGTGACTTTATGGAATTTAACTGTAAGGCAGTGTGTGGAATATGCAAAGGTAATTAACAAATGGACAACATACAAGAATACATTCTATAAGTTTATATATCAGAATCGAAATTTTTCTCTGTTTAGCTCCTCCCACCAGATAATGTCGACTATAAGTGCATGCTGTAAATCAGTTTTTCACTCGAACCTGTTGCTATATTTAAAGGTACAACGAGATCCAGTTCTATGATTACAACAACCCAGGATTCCATTCCAGCACGGGACATTTCACTTAGGTATTAAACCGATGACAAAACTGACCAATTCTGATATTGATTGATTAGACATTTTTGACCTCATAAAACATGAACGTATTAGCTATGATCTGATTGGATAAATGTGCTGTCAGTTCTATCGCTATATTTGGTGTTACTTTTATCTGATTGTTCAGGCTTTCTTCCATGAATTGAAAATGCGTATGTGTGTGCAAGTAGTCCCGTTTATGTGACATTTGATTCTATTTTAAGGTTGTCTGGAAGTCCACCACCAAACTGGGCGTTGGAAAAGCAACAGCGACAGTAGATGGTTATACAAGGACTGTGGTCGTGGCCGGATACACTCCTGCTGGCAATGTACGAGGTCAATTCCAAGAAAACGTACTACCTCTTGTGTAGCACTTCAATAAGTGTTATAACATCCAATAAATCAAATAAAACAAGTGTCCTCGTGTCTCTTTTGAAATTACGATAAGAGTGGGCAGCGGTTCGATTGCTAACTAAATTATGTAAAATGGACAAGTATGACGTCACACGAAAGCTGGAGAAATAGCTGTGATTTTGCACTTTACGCAAGAATACTTGTACACTTCTATAACTTATATAAATCAAGCATTTTCTTAATACAGTTTTTTGCATAGGAAAATTATCTTTTTGCAGGATATGAGATAAGGAGAAAAATAACAATCGATTATCTCTCTACGGATCTTTAAAAAATATTGCATAATCAAGAAATGATGACTCACCCAATGTTCTTGTTTTAGGACCATTTCGTCCATAGATGTGTGACTTTTTTGATCAATATTTAATCCCCTCAGTTTATTAACCGCTTTTCAAACTAACTCGACTAAAAACGTTAAGGGGTATAAGGTTCCATGATGTATTTCAGTCAGACTTTGGTTGTTATGACAACACTAATAGAGAACAACATTTTGTCACTTAAATTATTTTTTGACTCCTTGTGGGGTATTATGAGAGCAAAATCTTTTATGATGTAAAAATACTTCAGTTCTTGATACAGAATTATGGAGCTTGGATCCCTACAGACATTGTAAGAAGAAACCTTGTAAGAGCTGCATTGATACCAAAAAAGAAAACAACAACAGCAAAAAAAAAAAAAAAAAACAAACAAACAAACAAACAAACAAAACGGGACTTCAGTTACATAGGCACAACTTCTAATTAGAACGACTATTTTTTTTCTTGAACCCGTTGCTTCGCAGCCCCGTTTCTACATTATGCGACCTTGGGAAAATCAATCACATTATTTTGTGAGTTTCAATCAAATTCCTTTAACAGCAGGATGGAAAATACTGAATTGAACAGTTATCTGTAGTTATCAAATAACATTCTAGCCGTTTCTTTATCTTATTCAGACCCTGGGAATATTCTTATCTAAGGCAAATGTGTGCAAATCCCTTAATTTCAGGTTTATCTCGAGTCTGCTTCTTCTGTACACACAAAAAATTTTCTTTCGCAGTTTCGGAAAGCTCAAAAAATCAACAAATGTCATACGAAGATGACGCATTGATTAAAGTTTTTGCTACTAGCTATAAAGTGCATTCGAATGCTCAAATTATTATTATTATTAATCTTTGTTGCTGTTGTTGTTGTTTTTCGTTTTGGGAGTTACTTTAATTAACGTCGATGTTCAAAGAGAGCTGGAGTCACGTGACCTGAATAATCTTATTTGAGATAAGTAACTGATGACAAAATCGTTACTAGTTCTTAACTTTTCTGATAAATACTTTTATAAGCTATGCAATAGAAAAAATAGATAATGAAATAAATAAAAAGTTGAAAAATAGTTTCCCTTCGTGAATTTTTGAACATCAACTATAATCACAAATCCGTAAAATAAACATAGTCACGAATCATTATCGAAATAATGCTAAGACTTTCTTTTTAATTCGGCATTACTATCAAAAGACGGCTACAAGTCCAGGACTCAGAGGCGACAGATAGGCCGCGATCGTAACCGGAAATGTTGGTCAAAAACGCGATCACCTGGAAAAGGAAATACTTAGTGCATAAAAACGCTCTAATACACTATGCACGCCAAAAAGAAAAAAGATAAAGAATAAATATGAAGATGCAAAAGATTTCGAGCAATCAGTAGACAATGCCGGCTAAGTGGGGCCCGTCTAACAAAAACAAACTATTGTCTTGCCACTTATTTGTTTCTCTTACTCAAATAATATCAGTTTTTAATAAAACTACATAATACGTAATATGTATTTGCAGAGCTAGATTCCAAAAAAGATGAAAAAATCATGATTAGCTTGAGACGAAGATTTTCTCCATGTTTCCAAGGCCTCTTTAGAATAAGACGTTTCATTCAAAAACGTGACTTTTGCGTACAAAAAAAAATGTGAATAAGTTGTTATATCTCAAAAGAAATTATTGACTTTATCTATGTATTCCATTTTATTGTTATCAGTATTTATTTTTACTTGAACCATAATAAGCCTTTTTATATGAAAGGAAAACATCTAGAGCATCTGTATTAAAGTTTTCTGAAAAAGGGCTTTATCTAAGTACAAAACAAACAAAGATTTCTATCGTGAAAAGACTGCAAGGGGCACTGCTGTTAAAAGAATATAATTACTTTCTTATTTCTTTGTATTTTCTTCAAAAACGAAAAAACAAATTGCACCGTGTCAATCAACCTTTGAATGATCGTGACGTTTGTAGATACAAAACATATACATAAGCAGTGTCTCGGCAAAGGTCTAGCAGTTCATCGAGGACACTCTAACAGCAGCGAAGACCGACAACGAACACACTCTACCAACTCTGAGACATGATTCTTGTGTTGTTACTCGCATTGGTTGTGGTATCCAGTGGTTTGCAAGGTTAGTCGTTTTATGATTCACGAAGTATACACACAACTGATTTTTGCTGCCCTTTGAAACTTTAGGGCTGTTGAGGGAGTTTTTGTGAGCTATCTCTTCATTCCAAATCGCAAAATGGGCGTCTTGCGGATAAGATATTGACAAGATCCAGCCACCTAACTAAGAAATATATTCACACTTTGTCTTACAAAACTCGCTCCATCAGTTTTTGCTCCATCAGTTTTTTATTCTAAAAGTTTTGTTTCCCTGTTTATTATTTGTTTGTATATTTGTGTGTTCCTTTTTAGATTGCAACCCCGAATATCAAGAAGATACCCAGGATTGTACTTATTATAAAAACCAGGGTGACTGTACGAATAAATGGGCGGAATGGATGAAAACAAACTGTAAAATAGCGTGTGGTTACTGTCAAGGTAAAACTACTATCATAAACATATATAGTATTCCCCTAAAAACATATTTTTTTCATTGTTTTTTTGTTTTTGTTTTTTTTTTTTCATGCCCAGGCCTCTACGGCTGGCACGGTTTTAAGATGCAAGCACTTTTTTTAACGAGCGCTCGACGATTTCCTCACGTTATTACACCGACTGTGAGAACATTGCTCACATTGATAAAACTACATGGCATGATGGCGTGTGTTTAAGGGGATGAGACTACTGAACATTTTGCTATTTGGGACACGGTTAAAGAATCAAGCACAAGGTTTTCAACATTAGGTTTTACCCGAGCGATCGGCAATTTCCCCAAGAGTTTACATCGACTAGAACAACTTTGCTCCCGCACTGATAAAACTACAAGGATATGAGGCTACTGGACATTTTGCGGAAGTATAGTTATGTACTTCTGCCCTTTTTTGCATGAAAAAAAAACACACTCTACAAGAGCTGGAATTCTGAGAGACATACGGAGTTGATACTATTTTGAGAGACTTTGTTTTGAGTGGAAACTTACGAGTGAATCTTCTTGATCAAGAATCAAGATCGAATACTATTTGACATCAATTTCACATGTATTCTTCAGTTATTTTGCGAGACTGTGCCTACTCAATCAAAATAGTGTCAAATACGGCCCCAACTATTCTCAAATGTCTCAGGACCACTAGCAAAATTGAGCGAAATTAATTATTACACTCGTCTAAACAAAAATGATATATGCGACAAGCTTACGACAGGACCTTTAACTGTTTACTTACTATACGTCCAACAGTAAAACTTCGAAAAATCTTAGTCGTAAAATCTGCTGACTGTATTTCTGCGAGATATTGTTGACAAGAAACACAACAGACTTTATTCTTGTTCATTTTCCCCACATACACGTTCGTAGCTCCTGACGGGTTCGTTTTTTTTTCTTCCTTTGAAAAAATCCTGAAGCATTTGATTTCAAATCTTCTTTTTACCCATACTTAGCTATAGCGACAACTACACAAACTCCTACGCAGGTACCGACTAACTCTAGTAAGTCTTATCCCTAGCCGCCATAAACAGTCATGCACGATGATATGGAAGTTGATGTGATTTGATATCTTCTTTTTCCATATACCTAGTGGCGTCAACTACGCAACCTCCTACACAGTCACCGTCTACCTCTGGTAAGTGTTTTTCTATTTCCAGGCTGGAACTAATACTCTCCCTACTAAGGGTTCCATTTTTTCTCTCTTTTAAAATTAAATAACAAACTACAAGCATTTAATCTTAAAAAAAACGTCCTTTTACTTATACCTAGTACCAGTTACACAAACTCCTAGTACGCAGACACCGTCCAACTTTGGTAAGTGTTTTATGATTTTCCGCAGGCCGGATCAAATAACATGACTTTTTCTCCGTATTGAAAAAATAACGCAGAAGCGTTTGAATAGCCGACTTTAGATATTTTGGTTCAGTGACCATGCACAAAAGAATTGCAGACGAGGCTCCGAGGAAATAAAGAATAAATCAAGATTATCCATTGATAATTTTATTTTTTTTAATATTGCAAAGAGTATTTTGAAGTGCACGCTTCAAAATGACCAATCAAAGAGCGTATAATATCGTTTTATTCTTTATTTCCCCGGAGCCTCGTCTGCAATTCTTTTGTGCATGGTCACTGAACCAAAATATCTAAAGTCGGCTATTGAAATCCATTTTACCCAACCTGGGAGTTATTCTTATGTCTACCGCATACCCAGTAAACCGAGCAAGGACAAAGTAGCACAAAAATCCTAGTCTTGTTATACTTTTGATACAATTGTGAGTGTGAAGGCATAAATATTCTTTATCTACCTTAAATAATTCATTAGACGTCCGGGCAGAATGTCGACTGAATAATAAAAAAAGAATTAATTGGCTACTTTAAACCGGCTGGTTCAAGTCAAATTACAATGCTAACCACTTCCCAGCGTTCGAATATTCTCATGATAATAAGATGCACATGACGTCATGTTATGGCATGGTAAATTGACATTTTATGTTTGATTTGTATTTATCAGATTCGGCTTGTCTTCAGGCCCATAATGCCAAGCGCAGCGTGCACAGTGCACCAGACCTCACGTGGGACAGTGGCTTGGCTGCTACGGCAACAAGTTGGGCTCAACACCTTGCCAGTACAGGCGGCTTTTCCCACAGCACGGGGAATTATGGTGAGAATATCTATTACTCTTGGGGAACTAACGAAGGGACTTGCGAGCAAGCCGTACAAAGTTGGTAAGTCTAGCACGAAATGAACTAACCATATATATTCACCAATAACGTGATAACACTGGGTGCGTGATTCAGTGTAAATCGATCTTGACCAGCTTCTTATAATTGTTAAGGTATGACGAGATAAAAGACTATGATTACCAGAATCCTGGATTTAGTTCCAAAACTGGCCATTTCACCCAGGTATTTGTGCTTAAAATACAACAGAGACACTGGAAAAGTTTCTGTAAAAATTGATATCATTGAATGTTATTAGGTTGTCTGGAAATCCTCCACCAAACTGGGAGTTGGCAAAGCTACAGCGGACGATGGTGGTGGTTACAAAAAAACCTACATCGTGGCGCAGTACACTCCCGCTGGCAATTCTGGTGCATATGCAGCTAATGTATTACCTAAAAACGCGTAAAATGAGGTCATTTCCACATTCACTGATACTATATCACAGTGATATACGCTCATTGTAGACTTTCAATACGAACGATAATAAAACGTTTTGAAAAAGAATAAATAGTGTATAAGTAACTTTTAGACTATTTGTAATTTCTTTGGTTGCTTTAGCATGATGTCAGCAATAACAAAATTGAGGTGCTTACTTCCCCCTGGCATGTATTTGCTCGAGTCACACACCAATCCTATTTACGCCTGGGTGACATGTAGGACCGCTACTAAGAATTTCCAACTCTCCCTATCCATTGCTAGATGATGCTGAAGCTCCTTCATAGGCTTTCTAAGTTCTTCTCCATGTCTCTTAAAGTCTCTCTCTTCGTCTTTTCCTTGGACGATCAGGGGTCCATGCTCGAGCAATGCTCCCAAAATTCGGGCTCGTCGCGTCAAAACATACATGCACGGCACTCGACCCCGTTTTGGATAGCTACGGCCGCCAGCGGTCTAAATCCCTGGCCCTGTTTAAGACACTAAAAAGTAAAAATCCTTACCCTGTTCAAGACAAATCGGAAAAATAAGGAATAGCTATCTACGCCCCAACCATCAAAACTGCAATTATACTGACATCCATCAAAGACAATAAGACGTTTTTGATAACACGTTAATCCTGGGACAGTGAAACGGTATTTCTACTATTTCTACGGTGTTTTTTTATGAAAATATTACCCTGTCCAAGACACA